CCGCCCCCCCAGCCCCTCCCGGCCCCGGAGGCGGAGACGGCGGGCAGGCCGCGGCGGCGGCGGCGTTTATTTGAGCTTGGGCACGATGCGGATGAAGAGGATCATGCTGATGAAGATGAAGCAGACGACGATGAGCATGGCCCACAGCAGCCAGTTCACCGACTTCTGCGCGTGCTGCTCCAGCCGCTCCGACTCCGTCTTCAGCTTCTCCAGGTTCTGATCGGCCATCTTCAGTGAGTGCGACAGGGTCTGCGGGGGGTCAGCGTGGGGTCAGGGGGCGGGGCCGCCCCTCCCTGCCGCCCTGGGCTCGGCCTGTGACCCCTGACCCTGGCTGAGGCTGTGCCCGCGGCGGGGAGGGGAGCTTCTGCCAAACTCGTATTCATCCAGCGACGTCCCGCTCCGGCCGCCCCAGGTGAGCGCACGGTGCCCGCACCTGGTTGTCCTTCTTGATGACGCTCTGCGCGGCCAGCGTGTTGGTCTTGAGGCTCCGGGCCAGGCCCAGCATCTCCTCTGCCAGCTTTTCCTGGAGGTCCTGGTGTCGCTGCAGGACCAGGTCCAGTTCCGCTGCCGATTGCTTCTCATCGGCGGGCTTGGGGCGCGTCGCCCCGCTGGGGGCACAGGGGGCAGGGTGTGGACGCGAGGCGCGGGAGGGACAGGGTCGCGCGTCCGTCCAGCCACTCACGTCCCGGGAGGAACGTCTCCCTGCGGCCTCCGGCGGGCCCCCTTGCCCCTCCCGGCCTGCCCTACCCCAGGACACTCACGGTCGTTTCCTCACATCCGGCTGGGGCTCTAGAAGCGAAACACAGCGAGCAGGAAGGAAAAGGTCGGTTTGTGTTCCCAGCCCCTTGACCTCTGCCTGCGTGCTGCCTCTGATAACCCAGAATGTGGGCTCCTTGTCCTGCTTCAGAGCCCTAGCTGGAATGCCCTCCAGCGGAGCCAGCCTTCCCTGTATCCTGACTCCCCAAAGCCCCGGGCGCCTCTGTGGCTGGGGGTGCGGTGCCTTCCGTAGGTCACCGGACCTCCACCTGGGCTGTGCCGGGGGAGCCGGGGACGGAGGCAGCGGGGTGGGGGTCACTCACCTCCGGCCGAGTCCTGTGGGAGGAAAGACAGGCGTGAGGTCAGCCCCTTTGTTCTGTCCCCAAGTCTCTATTTTATTTCCTGTGCGCGGCTGGGCCTCCCGAGCTAGGATCGCAGCTGCCAGCAGCGCTTCTGCTCTCCCACCTGGGCCCAGCGTTGTCACCCAGCTTCCGGCCTGGCATCGAGCCGGGTCACCCTGCAGATTCCTGTGGTGACCTGTGAGCCACACGTGCTGGGCCTCACCCACACCCAACTCCCACTCATCTACCGAAGCCCTGGCCACAGGGTCCCTCCCTGGCTTCGGGGCCTTGCTGTCCGAGGGTGACCCGGGAGCTCACCGCGCCCAGCAGCTCGCTCCGCATCTCGCTGGTGTACCGGGCGCGGGACTGCAGGTGCACGGTCTTGGTGGCGGGCACGCGCTCCCTGGCCGTGGTGGGCACGCGCCCGGGGGTCAGGAACTGGTTGGCGAGGGCCTTCTCGGAGGAGGAGGCCTGCGGGAGGCGAGGCGGGGGTCAGGGCCGGGCCGGGGAGGGCGGCGGGGCCCGGGGACCCCGGCCCCGGCTCACCAGCTTCTCGGCCTGCAGCATGCCCTTCAGGAAGTTCACCTTGCGCGAGTACTCGCCCAGCACCTCCGAGGCCGGCTTGCTGCGGGCGACAGGGCGGAGGAACCAGCTGCCCGCGGGCCCGGCGGGGGACGGGCCCGAGCCC